TAGAGATTTAGGATGATGACACATCCTGCGACAAACCGAAGACTCGAAAAAATGTTTTCTTTACGGAATCGACCGGCGTGATTACCAAACAGATCGCAGTCTGACCGAAAAGTCACGGTGGAAACTGAGAACATCAAATGGAGACCGACAATGCTACATGTTGCAAAGCTCATCAGTCAACTGTTGTACGAGAAAGCTGGTACTTAGACAATGACTAGCCGTGCGCCATCTTCTCATCACTTTGCAGATGTGATTGTTTCTTTATGTGGCCTTTTTACATCACTCTGTTCTTGTATAACTATCCCTTAATTATATGATTAAATTATAAATAAGAACCCTCCTCCCCAAACAGAGATTTTAGAAAGACCCGGTGGGTCCCTGAATCTATATGAGGAAGCCCCCCATCAGTCCCTCCATCCTTCCTTCAAGCAAAGCCCTAAAATGCTGCCTAGCTTTATAACACCTTCCATATGACCTGCTCTGAAAGGGCTCAGTGACGTAGTCGGTCAGCCCACGGGGTGACCAGGTTCACAGCAGAAAGCTTTAGGTGACTCACACACGTACTGTGTACTACAACATTAAGACGAGGTTTAGGTGCGGGCCAGGTGAACGTTAGGTAAGTGGATGAAGGCCGACCGAGAGCGGGAATGTGGGGATTAGCTTTAAAACCAGCATAACTGGCCCCTCCGAGGCCCACGTAGGCATGCCGGCACGGACGCCCGCTCACACAAACGCCGCTGAGCCCGGCGCTTAGGGGGGATTTTTACTTTACTTCATCGCCTGTTCCGGACAAAAGTCTGCTTTTGCATAACAACCCCTCAGAATTGATCCCACAGGGAGCTCAGTCTACTCTCATAAATGCCCTCGTGACTCACGAATGACCCCGAGATTTGGGTGGTTACCACATCGCCGCTGGCTCCTCGGCATGAATTCTAGATCAAGCTGGAAGGCAATATTGTTGCTGCTGCAAAGAACAAAGCTTACTTGAGACTAGAAGTTGCAGTAAACAGTCATGGGGGGAAAATTAACCGTTTACGCTGTCTGTGAAGACCAAATCAAGCCATCAGAGTGAGGAAAATACTGTTTTTTCCATGGTTTTTGGGTCAAATATTTTCTTAAAAGGACTATTTTATATGAATAGTTGGCTTTCTTGTCTTTTCTGGAATGGAAAAGAAGGAAGGCGCTGGAAATAAAGAGATTGCAGCTGTTAAGATATGCACTTGAATCCTTTGTCACACTGAAAAATGAATTACTCACACATCTAGTTCTCCTCCCATAAAATATCATGTCTTTTTTTTTCTTAAGAGGATTTTGGCAGAATCTCTGAAGTTCTCAATAAAGCACATTTTCAGAAAACTCTCAAATCAGACTGAATCCATCCCCCGACCATTTGAATGACGGCGTAGGACGGGGGGCTCTGACCCGTTTGTCAAAAAGCCCTCTGCCGTGGTGTCAGATCATTGTAAGAAAAAAGCCGCCTGAAAGAGTGACCGCAAACACAGCGCTCTCTGTGAATTTCCACCGTCAACAGGGGCTTTTTCCAGGCCCCGTGTACCACAATCCTCCCGAGGCTCTGTGCTGACTTTAAATGCAAGCGGAGTAACACTTATTGAAAACTCCCTTGCTTTGGGTTAGCTGCTGATGCTGGGAGAAAGTCTCTGCACAACCTCAGATCATTCCTTTGTCGGCTATTAAAATCAAAAGTAAACAGAGTTGATGCAGGCAGTAAGGCATTTCACAGTTTGGGTCAGTTTGTTAGAAACAGAGGGAGAGCAGCTAATTGTTGAGGCCACCGCAGCTGAACACAACGTGAACAAGTGTACGAGAACGCCACCTAGAGGTGCTGCTATGTAGACGGAGACCAAACAGTGTCAACTTGATTGATATGTCCTTGTTTAGGGGGGGATATGGAACACAGATAATGAAAATGGTCATTTTAAGCTTTCCAGAAGTGCCTCTTTGTGATTTCTAATTCTTCACTTTTGGAAAAGGCTGCATTAAGAAAGCACACACGTTGTCCATCTTCTGAGTTTATGTTAGAAAAACAGGGTTGTCTGGGCTTGTTGTTCCTGACTTTGCCTCAGGAAGTTCCACAAGTGGACAGCGCCATCTTGTGGTAATGACACTTCAGCTGTTGCTGGGAATTGCAACAAATACCTTTATCTTTCTAGAAAGCAAAGAATAAAAAACACAAGTTTAGTTTTTTCGTCTTTTTTTTTTAACAATAGATTGATTTTATTCAACAAATTAAAAACAATTCAACATGAAATCAGCATATAAATGAACTCACTGGACTTAAAATCATTTTAATCTCATTTGTCAACAAGGCATGTCCCTAATATTTCTCTCTAACTAATAAACCTTTTTTCTTTTTAGTTAAACACAGACACAAGTGGTGCAGACAGTCTGAGAGACACATTTTCTTTTAATGTTTTTTATGGCTATTTTTGTGTCAAAACAGGCTCCCCTAAAGCCAGATTTCAATGCAATTCTTTTTTTTTTTTTAAATGAGCTTTGATTAAAGTTCATTGAGGTGCCGAGTCCTCTGAGCTGAACACTGATGGAGCTGAGGTGGATCAGGACACAGCCGGGCAAAATTCACAGCTTAAAAAAAAAAACATAACATAAAATTCTGTGATAGCCTGTGCTATGTATACGTCTAACTAGCAAGGCTGTGAAATAACCTGATAAGACAAGAGGAAACGCTGACCAACAAGAGACCAACAAGTCTGAATTTAGTCGCGGTGATCCGGGAATCAGACACAGTGGCTTTAAGGCTTTTCCCTCAAATTAGAGACGCATTTGAACCATTTTCTAGCAGATATTTATGTCTCCGTGCTTTATAAAGGGATGGAAAGGCGCATTTCTGCCTCCTGACTTAAAAGCAAACTCACGACTTTGCTGATAAGTTACAGGTTACAGATTTAGCACAATAGTTTAAGATCCGTAAACCCTTTCGACATGATTCCCTTTTAATTTAACCCGATACAAAAAACCACCGCTCAGCGTTTATATTATCTAAAAAAGAGGACACATTTAGAAGGGCGAAGAGGATGTGTACTCAGACAGAATGGGGCAAACACCCACCCATGGCTCACTTCACAGAGGACGCTGTCAATGGGACATGTTGATCTGAGCTATGAAGGCTGAAGCTCCATGAAGTTCCTGTGTCCCTTGTATTGCACTGAGAAAAATGCGCACTCATCTTTTCCTACTATGACTATGACATATCCCTTTAAGAGCTGCTGTTGAAGAGTTGAGACTGGTTTGACCGCAACCTTGGTGATTGCTTTTATCATTACCGTTTGAGAAGACTGGTGGAAAATTCTACCGATGTAACTTCTTTTGGACATTTTGAATTCCCATTTTTTTTAAGCTGCTGAAACATATAAATACATAAACACATTCTGTCTGTCCTTTCCTTTTTCGAATGTTTGCCTTAGCTCTTCAGCCATGATATGGTCTGAAATGAAGAATTTGGTTTGTTTAGTCGAGGAGGAACGTGTGATGGTTGTGATGTCTTCTCAATCCTTTCTGTTGCGTTGGATTAGTTCAGAACTACGCTATTATTGCACCTCACCAACAATCCAACAGGATAGCATGTTTGCTTGGGCTCAGGTCGCCTGTTTACAGCACAGATAATCCACACACTTCATGCTGATAGTTCAGAAAATGTCGACTCTCAGAACCCGACAAGGAAATGCAACTGTGCCTCCGGTAAAGTCTTTATGTGAATTTCTGTAGCGCGCCGCCTTTAGGAACGACGCTGGATAAAATGATTGCCAGCAGCTAAAAATGTTGCTTTTTGGATTGGTGGTTTTGACTCGCTGCTCCATATCCGGAGCTCTGAATGCTGGTGAAAAAAATGAGAATATGCGACATGAAGAAGACTTTTCTTTCAGCATAGTTACTGGACCACATGAAGAATAACTTGAGCGCGCGCGAACACTATTTCTTTTTGTTTGATTACATAAAGGGCTGCGCGGCTCCCCGGTGATGGTCATTACGCAGTCGGTAAGGCAGTCGTCAAGAAAAATAGATTTAGCGTGGGACTTTCCCCTTACCAGAGGACAAACAGCGGGACTCACTCACGCTACCGCTCACAGACAAGTCCCTTCTGCACCAGAATCAAACACAGATTGTCTTTGCCCACATTCATATCCATTATAAGAGTTCTCCGCAGGATTTAAGGAAGCTTAAAACATTTTTTTTTAATTCGAAAGAAGAAGAAGGCAGCAGTTTTTATAGCTTAGACTGATTTGAAAAAATACAGAGGGTTTAGCCAGGTGAGAAAACGTGCGTCTTATGTGACTTTAACCCTTTTTTCTTTGTCTTGCAGAAGGCACACAAACTATCACAAAGATATATCAATAACGTTTCAATGTGCAAAACAGCTTAGTTAACATCATTTCCTTTCTAGGAGAAAAAGAGGGAAAGATGAATTGTTCAGCGTTATGTTTTCTATGACCTTTTCCTCATTTCTGTGAAAAAAGAAAAAAAAAAGTGGATAGAATAAAAACATTTTTTTTAAAAGACGGTGGCAGGGCGGAGTAATCGAGTGCTTCAGAACCAGTGCAAACGCATCTGAATCTCATCTGTTGGCACCTTGTTTCAGTGCAGACGGAAGGCCCAGAGGCAGTCTACGTATGCAGTGGTGATGGGTTTGTTTGAGCTCTGTTTTAAATAATGGAAAGAAACAAACAAAAACAAAAAAGATGGCTCAAAGTAGACGAGGATGTCCGGATGAACTCAGCACCCGGCCTTCCATGGAAAGAAAAAAAAACCCACAGTGAACATAAATGAAAGAAAGCAGCACTTTTCAGTTTCTCCCTTATTCATATATTTAGTTGTTTGTGGGTGGACTTTTTTTTTGCTTATTTGTACCTCCATGAACAGCAGCTGAAGAAAAAAAAAAAAAGTTATCCAGCACTGTGAGGGGGGGGGGGGGGGGGGCATAATCTTATAGTTTGTTGTTTCTGAACGCCCCTTTGTGTTCTGGGTTACTCAGATGTGGGTGAGGAGGCGGCGCTGGTTGGCGAGAGTTTGGAGCCTCGGAGGGCCTGCGGGTTGACGATGACCTGGATGACAAAGTCCTTCTGGATCTTAGTGTCTTGCAGCCGCGTTTTATCTGTGAGCAGCTTACCGGAGAAGAACCAGCGCTGGTGGCCCACGTCGATGAGCTCCTGGGCCTGAAGCTGCTTCTTCAGCTGCCCGATGCTGTCGGCCATGCTGGCGCTCAGACGAAGGTCCTTTCCTGTGGACAGTCGCACCTGTGGAGAATGGGACACTGAATGACTGGAAACACGAGCGCGCCCCTTCTTGTGCCCGCCGCGGTTCGCTCGTGTCGGCACCTTGAGCTGGAATTCTTTCTTGGGTGCGGCGAGGGGCTCGGGGCTGTCGCCGGGGTCCTCGTCGCTGCGCTCTGAGATGAGGTTCACGGGGGGAGCCAGGCAGTAAACTGGCAGCTGGTAGCGGTTCCCCAGTTCATCGTAACATTCTGTCAGAGTGCCTGAGGTGTGGGTTCAAACAAACAAACAACAACAAAAAGATAGGGCATAAACGCCTTAATGTCTTTACATACAGAAATGAGAACCAGACAGAGAAATAGGGTTGTCACGATGTTCAACTCGATACCAATACTCAGGAAAATTCTCGATACTTGATACCATTTTCGATACCACAAGGATAAAAACAAAGACCCCAAAATCTAACTGAATTTTGACAGGTTAGTGTCTTTCATTTCAAACTGACCTGTTACTGATGTTATCGTGACTGGTGGCCCGCAATAATGACCCTAAATAAATATTTTTTGGTTAAACTTGTTTGGACTTATTGTACAAACCTATTTAACATACACTATTTTAACATAATAATATGTATAAAGTTTAATTAAGTGTTTGAAAGATTAATTTCACTATTTTTAAATTAATGTCTATATTGCCGTGAGGCAATTACGATTTTCTTGCCTGGAATCTTCCTATTGGTGATGTAATCAAAATGGCCGACTTGGAAGTGGGGGGAGTTGGATATGTACTTGATTAATGGTAGCATGTTATTATTAGCCATTAGCCACAGCTAGCAATTCAAGGCTAACATCTTGTTAATGATCATAATGATGGTATCTGGATACAACATTTTAGTATCGATACTTTTTGAGTATCGATACTTTTGACAAGCCTACAGAGAAATAAATAAAATAAATAAACTTGTATTGGTAGCTTTCCTGGATGTTGACATGTGCTTTGGTTAACCTGTACATTTCCCTTTTACAACCCTCCCATTTTGTTGGCCCCAGATTTACTGCTTGGGGTTTTGTTTTTTTTGTTTTCATCCTTACCATGTGGCAGTGTGATACTGGCTCCATCGACTATAGCCTGGGCCAACTCATGGTCGTTGCACTCCAGGGCCACGGCGGCGGCTTTCAGGGCATCCCAGATCTCCTTGCGGCCTTCGAAGGCGGGCGCCGTGTCCCAGAACTCGTCTCGCTTGCTCCGTAGCTGGCCCTCCGTCATTGGGTAGTCGCTCTTCCATTTGGGACGCTCTTTTTTCAGGGGCTCGTTACGTCCTGCGATGGGCACACAGTTCTTTAATGGTTTTGAAGGTATCCGATTGTATTTATTTATGATGACCCCCGTTCCAAATATGAACCAGGAAACACGAAGAACAAACGCGCAAACGTGCACAACATCTGTGGAGATCATTTGCAGACAGGTCGGGGGGCGACATAGGGAGGGGGAAGGATTACCGACTGGCTGTCACAAGAGACAAAACACCCCACCACACCCCAACGTGTCATCCCAATCTAAAATTAGGGAGGTCACTCAAAGTTTGCAATATGCATGAAGCAAGTGTCGCCTGAGCGTGTGTAACTTTACCTAAGTTTCTCACCATTCAATATTAAACACTCAGCTCACGGCAGCAAATTAGAGCCAATTGGGAAGTTAAGGTTTTTTTTTTTTTAAATAACCACCCTTCTGGACCCTTTGAGCTTAGAAACATCCAGAAAATAAACTTAATGTACCGGTCACCGAGTGGTGGAGTGATGAAAAATGAAACTTTTAAACAGAACAGTTACTCTTGAAGGGGTCAGACTAATTATTTATAGCACGGGCTGCTCGGAGTGATCTGGAGGACATGGTCTGGTGTAAGATTAGCCACTGGAGAGGAGAAAATCCTCTTTGATTGGGCCACTAAGGCACTACCTCACCAATGCACAACTAAGTCAGTAGTAGACATGCAAGAGGGGATAAAGAGCCACATTAAGAGAAATTCTCTGAATTTGATAAAAGACTGAATTGTTGGAATTGATACTTTTTTTAAAATCATTTGGTAATTGGCCAAATATGTCCACGGAACAGCAGATTCAGTATCAGGAGCGTTTTCTTAGAGAGTTCTGCTGCAGAAGAGGGCGATGTGATTATGCTGCTGAAGCTGAAGATCCTCAGAGAATAACACACCTGGATTTAAAAGTATGCTGCTCTGAATGCTCTTTATTGCATCGAGTTTTTACTTGATCTAACAGGAAGGGTAGAGATTAGTCTTATGCCCTGAGGCGGTGTCCTGGGGTCGAAAGGATAAAAACTTCTTAAACCACAGTGAAGACACATTTTGTTATCCTCCACATTCTACCGTGAACTACCAAACAAATATTTGAACAGTATAGTTAGGCCCACTCAGGTATATTTGGAAACCCACATGCATTTAATTTGTATAGGTTTTTACCATTCATGCAGAGATGCATGCTATGCTTTGATTCACTGACCAACATACCTTCCTCATACAGACACATCCTAATCCATACACACCAGATCAAAACTCTATTTTGCAGAAAAATGATCTTTTGAACAAAACTTGCTCGTTTTTTGTGAAAGTCTCCCTGTTACCAACATGGAAGACTTAGTTTGGGTTTTAGTGATGCAGCTCAGACGGTTAGTGTACACAGAGTTGCACACGCACCTAGAGCAGAGAAAGCCACCCTGAACTTAGATTCTACTCAAAAGAGAAAACAAGACATGAATGTGCATACAATGTGCGTATGGCCTAAAAAGAGGGATGGAAATAGATCAAAATTCATAGGGAATCACAGGCCTATGACTGAATGAGACTGTGGATCCAGGCCAGTAAAAGAGTGGACTGAGGTTCAGTGAGTCCAGTAATGTGCTCACATCAGGTCTCAAAATGTAAAACCCCCTATGATCCCATGTTATAAATCCGTTCTCTTATAACAAGACTGTGTTGAGGAATCCAAGCAATTGGATCCAACTACACGTTTTTTTTCCACACTCTTTGTAAAAACATTCAGTGTTTTCGCAAAGATGTGTATCAGCCCTGGGAGGATACTCACTTAGAAGCCCTGACAGCTAGTTTAGTCTGGGACAGAAGCTACAGATAATTACACTGTCATTACTGACTTCAAATACAATGAAACAATCCAGGCAGTAACAAACCTGCAGCACATATTGATATTAGATAGATAACCAAAATTAAGAAGAAATCATCAGCCACACATAAAGAAAGTAACTGAAAGGGTAGCAAAGAGGAGGTGGAGTCATCTTAATCCCTCTATACTGATAGATTATTTGATGCGTTTGTGGCTTTAAACACAGCAAACACCACAGCTTCTGCACGCTCATACAGAATCATCTTGGCTGAGTGGGTTCTCATCACCATATACCCGTGGAAAATGGGGGGAAAAACACTATTACTCTATTTAAAAAAAGTGTTGATTAGTCTATCATCACCAGCTGCTTTGAAAACGTGGAGTTCTTTGTAAAGTGACAGTGAGTCCTTAATCAGAGCTGCTCAGAGCCTGATAAGCATAGCACACGTCGCTGACCGCAGAGTACAATTTGTGATGAACATAGGGGTGGACGATATGGTAAAAAAAATCTTAACTTTAAAAAAAAAATGAAACTATAATCTGATAATCGCATTTTTATCTTTTATCCAATACTTGCTCACTTTAAAGTGCTTAACACATCTTCAAAACACTGACTGATATTCTATGACCATATTTGACGATGAAAAACTTAGGTTATGTCCAGGCTGTACATAAGTCATACCAAATAAGCTTTGGTCAACACCATCTTTAGCTGCAAAAAAATTATATACATTTATAGAGATATATCCATATATTAAATTAAGGCGACATCAAAATGTAAACCACAATTTTAATTCAAATAGGCAAAGAATACTAAATCAAGTCACTGGCACAAAAATCTGACTAAAATTGAAAAAAAAAGAAAGAAAAAAAAGAGTTGGCCAAGTACAGGTTATCTAATTGAAGGTAGATATTCGGATAAATAGCCTTGCTATCAAGTCTTGCTATTAAATTCTCTCAAACTTGTAGTACCACCTACAATTAAACCCCCCCCCGATAAACTGCGCAGGTCTTTCCTGACTTGAACTGACGGCAAAACAAATTTCCAATTTAATGAGCACCTTGGTGCAATTTTCCAGTCTGCTGGGGGAACAGGTCATCAGGTTCACTTTGATGGAACTCATAGCAGAGGTATGTTGTGTAGCTCCTCCCCCAAAAATGATTAGACAGGGCATTACTTACAATGTCTTGTAAATGAACTTTATTTATTTTATTACTTTGTAAAGATCCTTTATTTAAGCCTCTACTATGCTTTCCTTTTTTCTGCTGCAACATGTAAATTTCCACACTGTGGGATCAATAAAGTATTCTTTTTCTATTCTATATTTCTATGAAACAAGGCACAAATCTATGTAGTGACATCATGAAACTGAGCGTGCCACTTCGACTTAAAACTTTTATGAAGATGGCCGACTGAGGACATATATATGACATTTACCAAATACAGGGGAAAGAAGTTTGTCAAAACACCTGTGAGGAGGAGCAGAAGAAAGGCAAAGACAAACACAGTGAGCTTTACTGTGTTTGAAACACCGACGTGGCTGTAACTACTTCTAAGAAATGTGACAGTTATGAGAAAAACAGATGCAGTCGTGGAAAACAAAGTTAATGGAAATTGTTGTGGTTTTTGTGTTTGTGTGAGAAAAAGCAGGCAGGAACAAAGGACACAATTAAAAGAACTGACTAGTTGGACAAAAATAGGCACATAAGGCCGTGCATTGCAGACAGATGAAGCAACATCTGGGTGTTTTTCTGCTGCCGGAGCCATAAAAGCAGAGCCCCTGGGATGAGGTAGCAGTGAAGCCTTGTTGTATTTCTCTGTGTGAACTAAATGACTCCTAAACAAACAAATACTAACCCTGCCAGCATAAAAACACAAAAAAAATCAGGTGAATGCAAAAAGATGACTTCATACAAACATAAATTTATTTGCAGCAGCTTTTTGCTTTGGCCTTGTAATGTTTAATGGCCTCACACATTCCCCTGAACTGAGGTAGTTTATTAATGAGGTGTTTCCTCTGAACGTTTAAAAAATGGAAGAGCTTTGTTTATCCTGCCTGCATCAATGGCTTTCCTAACAGTCCCACACACGCATGGGGTGCTATCATTGTGGTTGGTTATCTTATCACTGCAATGACGCCTTCAGCTTTCTGCAGCTACAGATAAACACTCTCCTTGAAGTCCAATGGGCATCCATTTAAGCAAACAGAAGTATATCTGATTCTACATGAAGTTGGTCACTTATTCCGGAACTTTGGATTGAAACGACAGCAAATGCTTCTACAGTGAATCTAATTGTGAAAAACTGGGAGAACGCACAAGCTCCACTGGCGTTTTATTAGAGGCGATCTCGCTGTATGAGGTCTGTCATACGGGGTAGAAGTCCTGAAAGACGATCCAGTCAATGAAATATCCGGGCATGGTGGGTCTTGTTCTTTCCGATCAAACCTAGGCTGAAAAGGGAGTGTATGATGACGCTCAGCTGAGTGGGAAATTACCACAGCTCGCGGCCAAAAACTGCATTGGAATTAAATCACTACTCATGACACGGTGCACTTCAAAACCTGTATGAGGGGCTGATTTAGGAAACATGTAAGGACAAAAGTGAACTTCTTTTTTCTAGCTCTATCTGATGCAAACTGGAGGTGGTTTACTGTGACTATAGTTAAAAGGAAATATTTCTCATCAGTGGACAGGCAGATTCCTACTCTACCACATTAATTTCATACATAAACTACAACCAACTGTATAAAAGCTGAAATCAATTGTAAAATCAATTTAAATCAACTTGCAGTGGCAACATTTTTACACCTGTGGTTTGATATTCTGATTCAACCCAAACGGTTGAATCAGAAAAAAAAAGACTACAAATATCTACAATAAAAAGGTCCGTACAAATATCACAGACACTAAGGTTGAAGTTATGCAGAAATGTCTCTTCCCTGCCAGCTCAGCTCTGAGGCGCCTGTGTGTTCAGTTTAGTCTGGCTGTAAATACAACATTGACTCTTCCTGAGAGCTGAAGCAACTATCCAAATTCTGTCTGTCCCGATCAAACCCAGGTGGAAAAGAGGGAAATGTGGCAACTGGCCTGCGTTTATCTTCAGAGGAATGTTATTGCCAGCGTGTGTTAAAAATGGACAAACATCCAGTTCCTGGTGTGAAAAATGAGCCCATCAACGCAGAACTGCTTCACTGGGCAATCTCAACATTAAAGTCTGATCTTCAAAGAAAAAGATAGAGCAAGGAAATATCCAAGCGGATGGCCCCTAAAATTTCAGGCTTGTAAGAGATTAAAGATGTTCAAATGTATCCGTCATTGACCTGATGCAACATGTGTGTGTCACAATTATGCCAATGTTTTTTTCAGAGGATGTAAAATGAATGCTTTAAGCTTTCAAAAGCACCTCTATATTTTAGACGGTTTTCTAAAGTGAAGACTCAGCTCTGAAAGGGTCAACAAGATGAGACTGGACTTGTGGCTTGAAGAGCTTCGTCCAACCACAAGGAAGGCCTTCAAAATCTGATCACTGTCAAATTCTGCACCTCTCTAGAATTAGCGGTTGGTGTGAAACATGCCTCAATCGCATCATCCATCATGGGACTTTGGGTGAGGCACCAGAGAGATGGACTAATAAAGACCTGGCAGTTCCTCAATTCGCAACGGGCTAAACAAATGATGGAAGCGGGCGTCATGGAAAATGATCACACCGGCTTCACAAACTTTTCTGGCAAACCGGTTTGGCTCGCCAACATCACAAAAAAAGGCGCAAACAGGGTTGACATAATGCCACTTTTTTAAGTAGTGATCAAATTCTTATTGTGGGGTGAGAAATCTGACGGCTCTATTAAAATTGTCCCAATGAACACACAGTTTAAACACAAACAGAAGGATCCCACAAAGGTTGTCCCTGCCTCGTACAACCTGGAGAGGTGAGACAAAAACAGCTGAATGCGGCCAGTGTGTTGACAACTTTACACGTGATGCCCACACAGATAATCAGAGGTGATCGGATGTCAGTGCCAAATGACACCTGTCTTGGTCACAGCTAGGGATCAACGCGCTAAAATCGAGCGAGGTGTCAGAAACAGCGTGATTCAGCAACTTCGGAATTTAAAATTAAACACATACAGGCTGCCAAAGAATAGTTTTGAACTAATTAATGGTTCACTTCGCATGTACCTATATAAATATATATATATATATATATATATATAAACACCGAGTCACACGTTCCAGCCTTACCTCCTCGTCCTCCGTTCCTGTTCGAGCCACGGTTCTGAGTGTCGTCCCAGCCTTCCCAGTATCTCCCCACGCATCCTCCCATGATTTGTGGGCCGCCGACCGTCTCCACGGGTGTTACCGTCTGAGCAGGGGGGACATCGTGGAGGAGGAGGATGAACTAGGTCCGGCGAGGAGAAAGGGTCGCAGGTTCAACGTTGTCAGCATGATATGCCATCCATAACCGCAACGACGACATCCAATGGAGATGCTCGATGGCTATCTATATCTTAAATATTGTGTTCCTCCGCTTATGTAGAGGAAAATTACTTTAAAAAAAAGACCAACCCCCCTCCGTAAGATTCAAAGCCCTTGGCCCACAGCAACCCTGAAATAGTTTTAATAGCCAAGCAGGTATTTTTATATATTAGAAAACACTATACACAGCAAGTGGGTCCGACCTAACTTCCCAGTTAAGTTTGTTTAGTTTTAAATGCCCCGTCCAGCAGTCCAAACCTCGCGCACATTTGTCGCTAACGTGCTAATTGAGCTAACAGGCTAGCTGCAGCAACGTCAGTGCACACAAACTTCCGCGCGAACTTAATTTCCCAGCATGTTGGGTCTCTTACGTTTGTAGGTAAATAGTTTCGATTTCCTCGGAGCCTCGGCGTGAAGAGGTACTTCAACCCCTTGACACTGTGTCCATATCGTTTTTCTTTAAATACCCAAGATGGTACTTCCCCCCCCTGTGCTGGTAAAAAGGTGACCAGAGGCAGCGAGCTAGCGCCACCGAACTTTTTTTCCTGTACGCATGCGCACAAGCCATCAGGCAGGTGGGTTCTCAGATGTTTGTGCAAATTTGACTCTTTTGCCTTTCTAACTTCAGGCATATATTCCCACTGTATCTCAAAGGGGAAACATATTATATTATAGATTTTTTTTTTGGACTGGAATCTGCCAAACAATTTCCAAGATGATAACTGCTGCTCATATTACCAAATGTCTACATTTATAGGAAATTATTGAGCATATATTTTCTTGTATAATTATAATCATACAAGGAGACGCGTGGGTTGCAACTCTGTTGTTTTTAGATTTCCAATTGTACATGAATGCAGCACCTTACTTTGATAAATATTACAATATTTTAAAGAATGCACAATATGTACACAAAACTTTTTATATCCCTTTTGTTTTGTTTTGTTATGTTGATATTTTTTTAGGAGTTTCATCAAATAAAACTTTAGGATATAACATCTGACTTTTTCGCTTATCGCGTAAGTTTTCGCGCATGCGCACACCTAGCAGAGACACAGGAGCACGATGGCTGCGGACAGTTCCCTGCTGCTGGCTCTGGTGGAGGAATTTGTGTCTGGACTGCAGGACAGCAAAGCCAAAGACGCAGCTAAAGGTAAACGAGTCTCCCTTAGGTTTCGTTTTACATGTCCGCCGAAGAGTCCTTCTGAAAAAGACTTCGTTGAGGCTGCTATGCTGGTGTTTATGGATGCGCAACACGGCAGGATGGTTAACTAGCTAAGTTAGCGCCACAACATCCTGTCTGTGGTGTCCCGACCTCATTAAACAATTTGAAGACGTTGCAACGCAGGTATAATATGTGTTACCAGCCGTAAGAGCACGCTACGAATATACATCTCGTTTTATGATTTACTGACACTCCACTACAACCGAATTCAACTCTGGGCACCGTCCGCAGCCCGCTAGCTTCTGTGTTGGTGTCCGTGTGAGAGCATCCTGTCAATGAACCCTGTTACATTACCTTTGAACCTGCCGTTTGAGCTAGTTTATCTGCAGTTAACTACTAGTTATCGTCCTGTGTATGTTTCTAGTTGGGTGTTTTATTGTCTTCACGCTGCATTAGACTAAACTTGTCGTCCTGTTTAGGAGTCAAAGACGGACATTTTACTATACTGCAATTAGTGGAAGCACTCGGGTAAGTTATTGCCTTTTTTATCATTTCAACCTAAAAAAAACAGTATGAACAAACGAAAAAGCACGCCATTTCCCAGGATTTTAATTTAATCTTAAATTTATTTCCGAGACAGTTTGGTTGTTATATATTGCAGAGGTCAAAGTAAAGAGAGTTTTTTTTTTAGGTGTGTAGGTACAATACTTTGCTCCTGTTGTTAGTTTAATGGTTTTGTGGTTTTTAGAGCCTAAGCTGCCTTTTCACTAATGTCTGTGGGTTTTTTGTTTTGTTTGGTGTTTTAGACTCTGTCTGACTAGTTCTCAGCCACACACACGGGCCAGAGGAGTCCAGCTACTCTCAGAAGTTTTAAAGGAGAGCTATGGAGAGCTCACTGAGAGAGAGGGTATGTGAATACTCTTTAGTTGAATGCTTCAAACAGTCCAAAACGCGTTCAAGTTGGGGATTATTTTATGGTTATGCGGCATAACAAATCATCTCTTGTAATGTCCTGTCTCTGTTTTTGCCACAGTGGAAGTGCTCTTAGCCTTTTATGAAAATCGCCTCAAGGACCATTATGTCATCACGCCACCTGTTTTACAGGGACTCCAAGCTTTGGTAGGTCTTTCCAGGATTGATTTTCTTTAACTACAACATCTTGAACATCCTGCTTGACATTAACTGATGCTTGTTCAGTGTGTGGGAAACTAAACTACATTTTGACCTTCCCAGACAAAATGTAAGACGCTACCTCCTGGCTCAGCTGTGTCGATGCTAAGGTCCTTGTTTCAGGATGTCCATGTACAAGTTAGTAGACTTTATATCAGTAGTAACTAAATCAGTGGGTTTCAAATGATCAGCCAAAATGAACTGTAAATAAACTGTTGCTTTTTAACACAAATACAAAGTATCTATGCCTGATCCAGTGCTGCAATCTGCCTCTTTAGAGCTAATATTTTCACTCTTGCACACCAAAGTGACATTTTCCCCTCTATGTTCTGCACCTCAGCTTTTACGGAATATCTGCATGTAACAGACCCAAAACTGATACTTGGTTTTGCAGGCGTAGCTGATTCTTTGTCTGACTCTTTTCCTACAGTCGCTGATGCTGACAGAGAGAGCGTGTGTCTACAACATGCTTATCAACCTCATGGAAACCAGAGAGGCTGGTAAGAGATTAAAGCTAAGGCAATGTTTGTTTTTACAGAAGCTTTGGTAAGAAAGTTATTCAGAAAAATATAAAAGAAGCCGTGAATGTTGGAAAAATCAGGGGTGGCTCTGTTATCTCTGTGTTCATGTGAGCACAGGCAAACTTTGTGCTTTGTTCTGCTGATGAATGAATTTATAACATTATCAAAATGTTTGAGTTGTGTAATTCTAATAAATTATCTTTTTTCTTCATGCATAAAAGTTTCCACATCAAAAAAATAAGAGATGAGCTTTAAAAAAACTATGTTCCTGGTTGTCCTTTCAACAGAGCTGAAGGGGTTGGGAACAGACTTTGTTTTCGGTTTTGTCCAATCAATGGATGGAGAGAGAGATCCTCGCAACCTCCTGTTAGCTTTCCAGATTGCCAGAAACATCCTTGTCAGAGGATACGATCTTGGTGAGAACACATGGTGTGCTCTTCTTTGTTGCCTCCTCTATGTCTCAGTCTTTTTCTAAACTGGTGGTGACACCATTTTCCTGCTGTCTCAGGTAAATTCGCAGAGGAGCTGTTCGAAGTGACGTCCTGCTATTTCCCCATCGATTTCACTCCAGTAAGTTTACTCCTCTTGCGTGAGCATGTGACTGACAGCTGGAGGGTGCGTCATCTGAAACTTCCTGTGGTGTCTCTGTCTGCTTGTGATTTTAGCAAGTCACAGCCTTTTCTGAAATTAAACTTATGAGATGTGAGCGTTGTTTATCAGATCACTGCCAAACAAGATGGTTGAGAAAATTCCAATCCAGTGTGCTTTGTACCAATTGTGTCCAAATAACAGCTATGACCTACGATTCATTTCAGTCCACTTTGACTGTATATACACATTTAACAACTTTTATTACTGTTGTTTTTCTGTTTCTAGCCTCCCAATGACCCCCACGGTATTACCAAAGAAGAGCTTATTCAGGCACTGAGGGCCGTCCTCACCGGGTCTCCCAAGTTTGCTGAGGTAGGAGAAGACGACCCCAAATGTGAAAGCAGGACATTTGGATGCTTTGGAAAATTTGCCAAAAAGACCAGAATGCAATGTTCTACAGATCTTACAAGAAAAATGTTGGTCTCTCGTAGATTTTAACTGCAACAGGATGTCTCAAAAGAAATTCGTTAAGGGGCAAAAAAGTGCCAGAACAGTAAATGTTACCAAAGCAGCTGATAACTTCTCATGGGACTGTAAAATGTTCCACTTCCCATTTTTTCAGCCTTTTCTTAGAACAGGTCAAAATAATGGTTGACTATTATGCTTTTTGCCACCAAAGGAGGCTTCACTGTTGGGGGGCTAAAAAGGGTCTCTTCTTCCATGTTCCACCCAGTTTCTGTTACCACTCATCATCGAGAAGCTGGACTCAGCCGTTCAGAGCGCCAAGCTGGACTCGCTGCAGACTCTGGTGAGAAAAGCCACAGCTCAGACGTTTCCCCTGTGGGTGCCTACATTCGGAAGAGGTCTTCAAAAAGGAAATCTGGATGTCGCAGGTTGGTTTCTCAGCTGGCAATTTCTGGGTTTCAGGCAGCGTGCGTGAAGCAGTACGAGCACAAAGACTTGGCTGAATTCCTCGAGGGACTTTGGGCCTCGCTGCGCAGAGAGGTAAAGTTCCTCAGCTTTGTCAGATCTTTTTTTTTCCCCCTCAGTCCACCTTAAATAAAACAAAAACAAGAAAAGAAGTTCTTGAAATATGGCTTGCAAAGTCTCCCTAACCGTGAACCGATCATTCTCTGCAGGTGTTTCAGACATCCAGCGAGAAGATCGAGTCTGCAGCCCTCGCTGCTCTCACCGCACTCACTTCCTGTCTGTCTCGCTCAGTCCTCAACTCTGACTCAGAAGACTCGCTCAGCATCTTCTTGGATCTAATTCTTAAAGGTGAACTGAACCTGGGTGACAAAGTATATTTGATGTGTAAATACCTGTGGGACTGTCAACTGCAATGGATTGCTTCTCAAGTGTTGCCAAACCCCCACTATTGAAAAAACAAACTACAAACGAATAGATAGTTTCCTGCCTGAGTAAAGGGGAAACCGCTTGGGCTTTACAGCAGTTTAGAGGCCTGATTGTTTGCATATAAAGGGAAATCTGGGTTTCTTAATCACTACCAGTTGTTGAAAACCTTATATCAGCCATCTTGAAATGTGTCCAGTGAGGCCTATTGTGTTCTTTCAACTGAACAATTCAATTCCCTACAGACTGCAAGCATCACCTTTGTGAGCCCGACTTGAAACTGGTGTGGCCCAGCGCCAAGCTGCTCCAGGCCTCATGCAGCGCCTCCAACAGGGCGAGCCACATCGTGACGGCTGCCGTCATGCCTTCCCTCATCGAGCAGTATACCAACAGAGCACAGGTCAGACTGACATTGATTCTGCTTTTTGGCCACCCGTTTGCTGTTTCCTGGAGATTTCTCAAAGGAAAGTCGAGGTTTTGGAGCCACAGTGATTATTTATGTTTCCCCTGTTTCTCTTTCTCTCTCTCTTTTTGAGTAGTGTTCCCACAGACGGACGTTGCTGGAGGTGGTGCAGCGGTTCATCCAGTCAGTCAAAGCCTACCCGTCTTCAGATAACTGTGAGTGAGCCTGAATCAAAGCTCCAGACTGGTTCTGTTCCACATGCTCCGCCCAGAGCCTCACCACGTTCTTATTGAAACACTACTCAAGCTGGAAAAATTCTAAGATGACTCTGCTCTGTTTGTGTGTTGTTTCTCTTAAGCTAAAGCATTCCAGCGATAGAAAACTGCTATGATAGGGAAAAGAAGAAGTTGTAGCTTGGTTTTGTGTTTCTGTTTTGAATGCATATTCAAAGTCCAATTTTTTTATATCTAAATTTGGTTATGGGCTGTGTGAAGCCACAGAGGATCCCTTTCTGAGCGTACTCATCAAACCTCAAAAGCTGTTTCTGTTTCTGCGTTCTGCCCCCTTACAGCAGATGAAAGTGTGTTTTCAGCCTTCCGAGCCCCTCTGTGCAGCATGGTGTTTTCAGCCCTCTCTGAAAGCAATTCCAGTCTGCAGATCACCGCCACTGTTGTTCTCACCTCACTGGCACAGCAAACAGGTGAATGGCGGCCAAGTATTTTTTTTTATTTCCCGCTAATTTCCTGTGAAATACTCAAAAGAAAAATTCCCCTCCCTCGCACTCAGCACTGCTGCTGGACTCTGATATGGAGCTCGCCATAGATCACCTGATCAGACTGTTGCTGACCGACGAAGACGAGAGAGTCAGGTCAGTTCACAGCCACACACACCTCCCCCTCCTGCTTAACCTTCCTCTAAAGTCTGGGCCCTGTTTGTGGCTGTAGCGTGGCTGTGGTGGAGTGCGCGGGAGCCTTAGCACAGCTGCACCCGACAGCCTTCATCACCAAACTGATCCCAAGATTAAAACAGGAGATGTTTTCCGGTGAGTGCAAACAGACTCCACAGGACTTAAAAAAAAAAAAATGTATTCACAGTCTGCTTTATGTGTATTTTCCTCTCCTCTGCTCCAGACCTCGGTGCAGCTTCTGAGCTCAATTCCCATCATGCAGTGCGGCAGAGGTGCCTGCCGGCCCTGGCCGCGATGTCCGTCCAGCACAGCGTCGTCCAGGAGAGCGCGCCGGTCCTCCTGGAGGTGCTCAGCTCGGCGCACACTGGTAATTCCCGCATTCCAAAGTTTCCCTCCGTCTCTCCCGAGCCGGTCGGTGAGCGTGTTGCTGCGCTGGCGCTTTTCAGGGCGCGCCGGCTTCTCCGTGGACGAAGTGGTCCTGGCCTGCCGCAGCCTGCAGAGGATAGCGGAGCAGGCGGAGGACGCGGAGGAGACGGGCCGGTGCTTCCACCACCTCGTCATCCCACGGCTGCTGTCTTTGGCGCTGCAGGCGGCTTTGCAGGGTGAGCGGTGCCACCGGCCAATCAAACCCCTCCCCTCGTCCTTCCGACTCCTATCGGATGTTTTTTGGTTTTGTTTTTTCTATCGTATATCCCGTGTGGGGTTTTGCTGCAGGTGAGCATCCATCTGGTCATCGGAGTCCTCTAGTGGAGGAGCTGGTCCTGTCCGCTATGGTGCCTGTCATCAGTACTTCCTGCTCCCGGCTGCAGCCCACGTCAGTACCCACCGCCATTCGCTCATGTGTTTCTATGCTCTGTAGGATTCTGAATCTCTACGCTCTGAACTGACGGAACCCATAGAAAGAGCTCTAACCTGTTCTTTATGATTTGTCTCATTTTCTATCTCCAACATCTGGCCGTGCTTCATTGTATTGCGGTTAAGCTGTTTGTTGTTGTTGTAGGTTTCTGATTTGTTGTACAGGGGCTGTTTAATGAGGAATGTGTGTTTTCATGCTCTCAGGTTGGCGGGACAGACGGCGTCGAAGGTTGTCTCCCTCTTCCTGGATGGTGACGTCTCTTTTTTACCGGACAACTCCTTCCCCTCACACATCCAGCTGCTCCGGGTGAGTTTTGCCCAAACGCAATGTGTTGTTGTTTTGTTATTTTATGTATGTGTGTGCTTTTTATCTTTTAAAACTTATCCATATCACTGTTCTGTACAATTTGATGCAGATTTTTTTCCCTTGTTATTGATTGAAGAAAATGTTATGGCAAATTAACAAACCCTAAAAAAAATTGAGATGCATATCATTTTAGAGAAGCCATTTTTATTTATTTATTTACTTGTTGCCTGTTGTTTCTTCAAACTCGGATATACATATGGGAGTTTTACCAGGACACGATAAGACAAAACACAGATTTCTTATTTCTAACTAATACTGGTTTTGAAACAGCTTTCAGTTTAGTGAAAAACAGACTTTGCTGTATTGACGGCAGCATGTGGCGCACTTAAACTGGCGCATCTTAAGTCGGCGTTTCTGTCTGGCTGTGTTACAACACATAATCTGAAGAACACGAACACTGAACTGGGTGACATTTTTTTCCCAAACCAGCAGAGGGACTCGTGGAGCCAGTCTCAGCTGGTCTGTCTGCTCATGGGCTGTGTGTGCTCGCTGCCCCGCACCGTGAGTCTCAGCTCAAACTTTTCTGAACCTCAAGAAATCTGACCCCGTCCGAGGCTGTTTTCTAAAACGGCCTCCTGTCGCCCAGGTGGAGGTGCCCCAGATAGAGCAGCTGTTGGCACAGCTGGAGGAGATGAGCTGCTCCTGCAGCCACCCGCTGTCCTACACCTCCGCTGCCAAGTGCTTTGCCGGCCTGGTCAACAAGATGCCTCAGGGTCTGTTTGGTTTTGTCGGTTTTTCAAATTTTAGCTCCTGTCAGAGGTCAGTTTTTGTCCCTAAACTTGAAAACTGCGTCGCTCCGGTTCCTTCTCCAGGCGAGTCTCTGGACAGCTTAATTCAGGGGACGATGAAGAGAGTGTGCGGCGAGCTGGACTGCTCTTCCTCTACCGTGCGGACTCAGGCTTTTACGCTCATGATTTGGGTGAGATTCAAAGTGCTGCCGCTCCTGTGGTGCTCATTTTAATCCGTGAGGAGGAGGATATCTGAAAAACTCAGACCGGCCTCTGCTGAGTTGCTTCGATGTGTGTGTTGGCTAAAGCTGTTCTCGGTCCCCAGGTTGCCAAAGCTCTCCTCCTGCGCTACCACCCTCTGTCCACATCGCTGACCGACAAGGTAAAAACACCCAGAAAAACACACAGCGGCTTTTTTTTTTTTTTTTCCTTTTTGTGCTGTTCGGAAGTAACATTTTGGCCCGAATGCCCTGTTTAGCTCTTCTCTCTGCTGGATGACGCCGACCTGGGCCCCATGGCGGCCGACGGCTTCTCGCTGCTAATGAGCGACTCGGCCGACGTCCTGAACCGCGGCTGCCGCGCCGACGTCCGCATCATGTACCGTCAGCGCTTCTTCAGCGAGAACTCGGCCAAGCTGGTCCAGGGTTTCAACGCAGCACCGCAAGGTGAGAGCGCAGGGTTAGTTTGAAGAAAAAGCATATATGTGGGTAATACATGTTTTTTTTTAATTAGGTAATAAGACATCAGATAAAAAGTTGGTCATATTCTATGAGGCAGGCATTCAGGTCTGTCTCAACGCAGAGAGAGATATGAAACAAGTGGATATTAAATGCTAACGTTCATCACAGCACTATAAGAATTTTAAAAAGGCAAGTTTGCTTAGTTTTGTTGCAGGAGAAAGCCTTGCTTCTCTATGAGAAACATGTCAGCACGGCTCGGCTTTATACAGCTACATCTGGACAGAGCAGAGAATATGACTTCAGCGAGAGACAGGGAAGGAGAAAATGAATATAATAAAAGTAAATTTGATCTGTTTTGTAACAGACTTATTCAGAGAGCCGGATTCATACACCTATTCAAACATAATGAAATAAAAAAAAATGGTTGGGGTTACTCTGACTTGTTTGCGTTCGTGCGTCTGGGACTTTTATGTACTTCCTCCTTTTGGAAAAGGACACAACTCCAGTTGTGGTGTCATCAAAGTTAAATTTACTCATGTGATGACATCTTCCATGGAGACAGTAGATTTGTCTTCTAATTCAAAACAGTTATCACTGTTTTTGTAGCTAGAACTAGCTCTACACTGTTCTGGATCATTGAATATATTGCATTTATACTTGGTTTTTGTTTCAAATTTATGTTCTTCTCCCAACTGTGAGACCAGGAAGCACCGCATTATGTTTTAGAACCTCCTCCCTTGTAGTGGTTCTGGAGTACACACATCCTGTACACCTGGTGATTATCCTCCTGATAGTTTTTTTCTGTTGCCCAACAGAGAAAAAGTCCAACTACCTGAAGGCTCTGTCTAACATCGTCAATAAGCTGCCGCAGCAGGTCCAGGTCACCGAGCTACCAGCAGTAAGTCGGAGGCAGACGGCAGTTTTTTCTGTTCTCACTAATAGCGAGCTTCTAAAAATCTCTTCCTCCTCCCCCTTCCCAGTTACTTTCTCTGCTGCTGGAGGCCCTGACGTGTCCCGACCAGGCCGTCCAGCTGTCCACCCTGTGCTGCCTGGAGCCCGTCCTCACCAGCCCCCCCCAGGCTCTCATACAGCAGCTGGAGGCTTTGGTCAGCCGGCTGCTGGCCCTCGTCCGCAGCCCAGCCATGGTCAGGCCCCGACACCACCGTCCTGTCACCACTATAAAAACCCGATACGGGTATAAACTGTCTTTTGTTTTCCTCTCAGAACGTACGGATTGCGTCCATACGGTGCATCCTCGCCCTCTCCCACTTCCCTGTACACGAGGTATGCCTCTCTCTGCTCCCTCTCTCTCTCTCTCTCTCTCTCTTTCTCTCTTGCCCTTTCTGTCTCACCCCGTACCGGTCGGGGCAGATGGCCGCCCACCCTGAGCCATGGTTCTGCTCGAGGTTTCTGCCTCTTAACTCATTGACTGCCAGCCATTTTCAGAACAGAGAGTCCCAGACTGCCAGAGCATTTTTGAGCATTTTGACTGATTTTTCAAGAGCCACAGAATAGTTTGTGCTATGACTATGTAAACACCGAACACACCAAAAGAAAGAGTAGACTCTCTTCTTTCATCAGGAAAAAAATTTTGTTTCTACCTTATTCCGTTCTTCCTCGACTTGCGTCTCACCGTCGACATGTTCTCTCATAGCGAAGCGTTACCTTTTTTTTAATTTGCCTACAATCTATGCTCATCTCCCATCAAAAGTGGCACTGCCACCTAGAGGGTCAATTTGTTACTACATACTCTGTCTAGAAGCCGATATTTACGGACAAGCTTTAGCAGATCGTCCCCTAAGCCACTCTCGTTGAAAAACGTAAAAGACGTCTATAGACGTCTTTGGCAGTCAACGGTTGTATTTGAATTGACGTCTATAGACGTCTTTGGCAGCCAATGAGTTAAAAAGGAAGTTTTTCCTTGCCTGTGTCGCCTAGTGCTTGCTCATGGTGGGATTTGTTGGGCTTCTGTAAATAACCTCAGAGTACAGTCTGACCTGCTCTGTTTGGAAAGCGCGATAGTGAGATAACTGTTGTTGTGATGTGGCGCTGTATAAATAGAATTGAACTGAACTGTGTGATTCAGGTCCTGCCGTTCCGAGCGCGGGTGCTGCGAGCGTTGGCTCGGCCTCTGGACGACAAGAAGAGGCTGGTGAGGAGAGAGACGGTGCTGGCCAGAGGAGAGTGGTGAGGACGGGAGGGGCTTGTTTTTTTAAGGTTCACTTTCAACTGATTGTTCTCATTGAGTTTCTTAGATTCACACGGTCTCATTTCCTCACAGGTTCCTCTTGGGGAGTCCCGGGGGGAGGTGATGTTCCACCTCACGCGCAGTCGAGCCCAGAAACCCCAGGACCAAGTGTGGAAGCTGTGCCTCCTGCTCCACGGCTCCCCGTTATCCCTCTGAAACCTCTTCCTCTATGCAGAAGTCTTTTTGTTTCAGCTCTACGCCCCCCCACACCCCACCAGCACACAAAGAGGGAAAACAGAATTACAGTGGAGTTAGATTGATGAGACCTACCGCAGCTCTAACAGGACCAGCATGCTTTGCAGGCAGACACCAGCATTTCCTGCTCTAAACCTTTACACCAGTATCTAAAAACTAACCTCTGGTCAGCTGTTAATATCAAACACCCTCTTCACACGTCTACATATCGGATTTTTCTTTCTGTTAATCGTTTCCCTACCGAGCTCACCAAGCTTTGATTCAACTACACGTGTAATCACAGGTCTGTGCAGAGAGCCCAGAACGTTCAACTTCTACACAAAATATGAGCTGGGGAAAAAAACGGACAGGCTGATCAGCTCCGAGGGGAAACGTGGAGGACGGCAGCCGACGCTGGGAGCCTTTAATAGTGTCACCCGATGAATGTTTTAACTGCAGTAAATGTTTTTTAAATGGGAGAATCAGGAAAGAGTCGACAGAAAGAGAAGAGAATAAAGTTCATTTCACACAGAATAATATCTGTATCTAGGTTGATATATGGGAGTCTAAGTTATGTGATATGTCAGGCATTGTTTGCCTTCCTTCAATATTTGAACAAACACTGGTGAGTGTATGTTGGTGTTCTTCATGCCACCCAGATCGCTCCGTTTTGAAACTCACTGACTTACGCCAAGGAAACAGACGATATTTAATATGTCTAACTTAAAACGACATTAAAACTTTGTAATTTACACCAAAACCTTTGTTGATGTGTCTTTCTTTAACTAAACCCAATAAGTAAAAAAATGAAAAAAAATAAAAAAATTCAAGCCAGAAGTATGAAAACTTGGTTTTTATTTTTTTTTTAAACAATTCATAGTGGAGCTCAGCTCCTGTTGGTTACAGATTACATCATAGCTGTGAGTCTTGTTTCTATGGCAACTTTATATTTATTCTTAAAGTTACTGATATGTTTTTAGTGAAAAATCTAAAAGGGGTTCAAAGGTAAAAAAAAATAAAAGGATTTTTCACAGTTCCCGATTCAGATGTTTTAATTGGCTCAATTAGAACATTACCATAACAAGACCCCCCCTACACTCATTCTTTGGCACAGAACATCAAATCAGAGAGCTTGACAGCGCCTCGCGTTCCAAATGCTCTATAGCAGGTCAGCAGGTAAAAAAACATTGAGCTTGAGACAATTATTCAAATAACTACATGAAATCAGAAAAGTGAACATTTCTGTATTTTTCTCCTGCAGATCGAACGCAATAAGACGATATGAGCGGAACTAAACGGACGCTTTGCGTGATCCAGGGAGGAACCTGTCATGGGTTAAAGAATCTGAGAGCCTCAGCTTCTTTTGGTGCTCTCTCTCATATCACAGAACAGTCTTCTTGCTGTATCCTCCACCTTATGTCTCTATAGCACCATTCAAAGTACAAAATGAGCTAAAGGGTGACGTTCCTGATCGAAGAAAATGCTGAGTGTGCAACAAGTCGTACCTGTGAAGAGCAGCCACTGAGTTACATTTAAAGGCTCCCAAACTACCAAATGCTGCCTGAATTCTCCTGCCTTCCGGACTCTGCTGGTGTACGACCTGCTCGCGGCTCTTGCTGACCGGTTTGGCCTGAGCCGAAACGTCCGGCTCAGTGAAGTGCTGACCAGCAGCACCCGTTAAGTCGGTTCTCTCGACCGCAGACCGGATCAACTTGCACAAGGCCGGCAGGTGTAAAGATCGGGGACATAAGCGGTGTTCTTAGATGGGTCCCCCTCCCTCTGCTGGAGTTTTGTTGCTTTTTGCAAAGCGATTCCACAAACCTTGAGCTCGGAAGTGAGCGACCGGTCATTGTTGGAATGCTGCAAAAGCAGGCTTGCTTTTGATGCGTTAAAAGAAATTGAAACGCCCAAAAAAAAAAAGTCAGATGGCGATGGGGTCTCTCCTGATAAAGGTGCAGTCCCACATTAGGCCGTCTCCGATTGGCGGATGGCTGCTGGGTAGCAGGACTCGAGTGAGCCAATGACTGTGGAAAAAGAAGAGTGGTCAAGCGAAAAATGACTCCATATCGTTTTCGTTAAACACAAAGAATAATAATAATTGAAATGCTAAATGTAGCGCTGTGCTGCTGAGGATGCTAAAAGATGGGTTGGGCCAGTTTCACTTATCTTTAGCCTGTTTAATCAATATATGTGCTTCTTTTAGTTTTTGTTTACGACCCTCTGCGTCTCTCGGCCTTTATCTTTCCTTTTTCTGACCCGAGGGCCCTCCGAAGTCGTTAGTACAGAACTTAAAGATGGCGACTCAGACTTTAGCAGAGGATGCTAAAGAAAACGACCCCCGAACTCACCTCCTCGTTTCCACGCCAAACATCAGCTTCCAGTTGTTTAGTCGGCCCTGATGGAACGGGTTCCTGAACACCTGCATGGGAGGAGGAAAGGAAAATGGCACCTTCTTCCAATCTTCCCCTATGAAACGTTTGTTAGAAATCCCTAGTGTTTGTTTCTTTTTGCTGATCCAGATGTGCAGAAACAAACTAAAGTCTTCCTATTTCTATATAATTGTTTTTATTGTATTTTTTTTATAAGAGGTGCTTCCTGTGTGAAGCTCATGGAGGGCTCATAGGAGGCCGGATCTACACAGTCCACATACCTTGCCCCTCTCCTTGAGCCTTCTGGCTTCTTTGCGGTTGATGTGGCGCTCCACGCTGGTCTCCCCCCGGCTGATGAGCATGGCGTGCCACAGAGTGAGTCCTCCCAGAGCCACGGCCACCGAGCTGCAGGAGAGAAGAGGGGGACGATTTACAACCCGCGCTGCCCGGGTTACGCTTGTTTAGGTTGCTGTGGGTGTTGCTCACCTGGTCAGTACCCAGAGGAAGATGACGCTCTTATGAGCAGTGCTTTCTCTGGAGCTGTATTCCGGTGGGGGGGTCTGATAGTAGGTCTGAAACGCAGAGGAAAGGCAGCCCCTCAGTACACCCGAGTCATGGATTTAACATTTCCAACCCAGGTTAAAATCTTTGGGCAACTGGCGTTTTCATTATTCAAAGCGTAACAGATCCATAAACCCTAAATTTGATCACTGCCTCGCCTTAAAGATCTGAGGATGGCCTAAAACAACAAATAATATAGCTATTCTTCAATTTATTTGATCACAAAAGCAAAGCCAATACTCGGGAGCATAGTGTAAATAAAAAAGATAATTCAAAATGAATGACGAGGATAAACATCAGCCAGGTGCTGAACAGCAAAGACAATCGAATAACTGCTCAGGCCTAAGTCTGTTTAAAAGTTTGGAAAAAGATTCCTTCAATCTGCCCAGGAGTCGACGGCCCTGCAAGTTCAGGCTGTGCGGTGCTGGAGGAGGTACATCTCAGACTCTATGGGCCTCAGTTAGCATGCTAAATGCTAAACGTCATCAGAATTAAGAGAAGCATGACGTTTGGCCTCTTCTTCTGTCTTGAAAAAAGAAAAAACAATACACAAGCATTTCTAGAACAACGAGTGGCAATGTTTTGTCAGAATACACTGAGCTGAGTTAAAGTAAAGATTCAAGGGACTGAATGCTGAGACATGAACAAGGAAACCTAAAACTAACTGAATCCTGGTCCAAAAGGAGCGTGCTCATGTTTCTCCACATTGATAACGCTCCTGTGTTTTGGCTCAGCTTTTGTTCAATAAACCAAGGAAACCAGAACATGTCCCGTGTTGTCCGTCTGAGGTTGATTTGAACTCACCTCCACAGCGTTGTAGGCCTCCACAAACAGGTTTCTGCTGCTCACGCTGCAGTAGATGCAGCCCAGGGTCATGTAGAGGCAGAAAGAGAAGAAGTAGCGGTGGTTGAAGTGGCCTACGCAGTTGTTGAGCCAGGCTGGGAGGTAAAAACAAAACAACAACAAAAAAGTTAAGGAAAAAAACAAAACAACCCTTTGAATCCTTTCTCCTGCATTTGTGCTGTCGCTGGTTGGAAGGATACGGCAGTGGTGGTCCATCTTCAGAACGCACCTGGAAGAGAAAAGGAAAAGGTTTCGCTGGGACTGGTTGCAAAGGACGGCAAGCCGACGCCGTTTACCGGCAATTCGTACGTTTTTAGAACCGACCGGGCGAGCTCACGTGTTGCAGATGCTGCAGTGGTGCGTCCTCGGTGGTTTGGGAGTGATGCATTTCTTACAGATGGAGACGGAGGGCACATCAAGTTTGTCCTAGGGTGAAAAGACAAAAGAGACGGGCTCTGTTACGGTCTGGAATTAAAGACACTCCCTGTGGAGTTTGGTACCTTGGGCGGGTGTCCCGGCGAGGTGGTGGTGGCCTTGTAGTAATGAAAGACCACCATGATGAGCAGCCAGTGGCCGCAGCAGAGATGCCAGGCGCTCCAGTGCGTGGGGTAGGTGCTGAGGATCGTGGGTAGGACAAACAGGTAGACCACGACCACGACTGAAGCCGTAAGCAGGACAACCAAGCAGACAAACACCTGGAGGGAAGAAGGAGGACACCACAGAGGAAAACCGTTACCTTTTGAGACGATACCTAAATGTTGTTATAGTAGTTATAGAGTAGAGGATAAGCATTTGATCCCCAAACGTGAGACGCAGTACATTTTACAGGACACGGTCCCGTCCGTGGAAGTCCAAATGCGCCCCTAACATAACGGTTCCACTGCCGTGCTTAACTGCGCAAATGGGGTTCTTCTGGTCACACTCCGGCTTTTTCGCTCCTCGAAATGCCAAGAGGTTCGCTTTTGGCTTGATCTGACCACATGACCTCTGACTCAAACACAACCCATCCTGTATGTGTGCCTCGTTGCGCAGAGTGCCGCTAGATTTCAACCCATTCCGGAGTACCGCATTCCTACCGGGTTCCCAACTGCCTCCCGATCATTAACACGCTACTCCCCTAGTACCCGTCCTCATGGTCATCCTCACCTCGTGAACTTGCGTGGATCCAAGCATCTTGCTGATGTTTTTTAAGCTTGTTCCAGCCACTGGGAGGTCTACAATCTTACCCCTGACATCCCTTGATGGTACATTGGTCTTACCCATAGTGCCATTTATCATCTACTTGATTCCTCTTGCAAAGGCTTATGTCACTCCAGTCATCAACGGATTGAGGTCTAGCAGTACCTACACCACGCTTCAGACAATCCAGACTGTTTTCATGTGTTGTTCCAAGTTGGTGGAATGACCTACCAAGCGCAACAAGAACAGAAGTGTCCCTGTCTATTTTCAAGAAACTCCTAAAGATCAACCTCTTCAAAGAGCATCTCCTAACTCTTACCCATACCTCTGTACCCCCTCGACTCCTCTTTCTGTACTTCCCTCTCTCCCTTTGCCGTGGCCACTGACTCTGACTAGGGTTTTTCCTCTAGAGAGCTTATTGTCAGATTGATGATAACTGTAAAATTGTGTCTACTTTGTAAGTCGCTTTGGACAAAAGCGTCTGGTAAATGCAGAAACCTAAACATGCGAGTATCTGGAACCGACTGACAGGCAGCCACGTGTCCGAGAGCCAGAGCGGTCGTGGAGACGGCCGATCAAGCACTTATTTCCCCCACGAGACGGGATCTTACCACGCCGAACCAGCGGGTCACGTTGTCCACGATCCAGTAGACGGGCTCGAAGGCACAGTCCAGCGCCGTGTCCGAGTTGGTGAGGGCGTTGTAGTACAGGGAGCGGAGCAGCAGCCGGCTGTAGATCCACAGCTCCCGCAGCGCGCCCCACGTCCCCGGCCCGGGGGGGTCCCGGCCCGCGCCCCGCCCCCCCCGCCACTGCCGGCACCAGCGCAGCGCCAGTCGGGTGGCCCGGGAGAGCTGCCACCTCCAGCTGCTGCCCATCCGCATCCCGCCGCCTCCCCTCCTAAACACTCTGCCCTCCAGGCACACGCACACACACAAGCACACGGACCAGCAGTTACACACACAGGCCGCGTAAAACAGCAGCTCCTCGCAGCGGAGCCTGGCGGGGGCCGAGCGCTCCGTCACCATCTCCCTAGGATGATGTCGTGGCTCAGAGTGGGACAACGATGATGCAGACGGGGTAGTTTTGATACGGGAGGAGAGGAAGGACTCAGATCCACTAGAGTACTCTCTCTTTTTTTCTTCGTGACAGCTGTCCCTCGAAGCCAAGGAGGACAGGGGCTATCAGGTAATGAGCTCTACCCACCGGACCCCAGAAAAAAGAACCTCTCCTCTTAATAATTCAAAGCAAATCCGGCCCCCGCCTGCCAAAAAAGCTCGAAGAAATTAGCAACAGAGATGCGGCGCGTTAAATAAAGTGGGAACCTGATCCCGGGGCATCGTTCATGGAACTCAGTATTGGTTACTCTGATAAGACTTGTTGAGGTTCTCCGAAATTGGATGGCATTAATAAATGAGAGAAGTTCAGAGAAGAGAGCAGGGCCAAAATAGGAGCAACGCCACCGGGGTTCTGCAGGACTTGCTGGAAGGCCACGATTCCGGTCATCTGTTGAGCCGTCCACGTTTACTTTATTAACGTGGGCGCCATATCAGTCATCCACAGTCGGTTCGTACAATCAGCTCATAAAAGCATCAGCAGAACAAGCTGGAACTGTTCTAGGAAGTCGTAATGGGACATCTTTGATAAGGTGTGGTCAGATTATGTCTATTCTATTCCATTAGATCATATTTTTCCACAAGTTAAGTATGTTATCTGAGTGGTTATGGCGAAGGAAAGGGGTGAAGCAAAGGTTGTTCACGTCCAGCGAATGAAGCATGACCTGAACTTGAAACTGGAAAATGTTGGAAGATGAGACGGCTCCGCACCCACAAACAAAGGCGATATGGATTCTCACACACAAATATGTGCTCACGGGCTGAACACTATGTGTCCTTTATGTGTCACAATCTAGTAAATCAAAAGAAAAGCAAATCGATTTGCTAAGAAGGCGTCCTCGGTTGCTGATTTAGCTCAGTAGACAGGCAAAAGCCTTTTTACACGCTTCCTGGTGTGAAGCTAAATGTAGGACGGCACTCCTGGCAAAACAAGTGGACCACTTGATTTTACAGTCTTGTTGTTTACTGCACCTCTGCGACATTACTATCCTCACACCTGCAGAGAATAGAAACTATTCCAACAGGGCAGCAGAACAAGAGTCTTCTTTTCAAAGCTCCTATTTCGACAGCAAAGAAGAATCAAATCTTGATTATTTCCAAGTCACTGGTGGATGGGAAAATCTCTGGAGGACGACCAGGATGCAGGATGATTAATCAATATTCTAATCTGAGAGAAACAAACAAGGACACGTGGACTTAAAGGCCGATGGGAACATGAAGGATCCTGCAGTCTCTATAGCAACCTGCTGCCCAAAATTTGCCCTTAGATAAAAAGACCAATCACAGCCTCAGCTTTCAAAGTAATCGGCTTTACATTGTTATCTTCCTCTGGTTGTAAATGGGGCTCAGTTTGATGGTAAGTGGGACACTTTAAAGAAAAAGAACACCTGTCTCTGTTTGCCAGTGTTCGGGATGCAAAGTTATTTTTGAGTTTTTTTTTGTTTCTTTTAACAGATTGACTGGTGGACAGTGGCAGGGGAAAAAAGTTCCTCACTTAATCCTCTTCCTCAAAGTTAACAGGAACAGATCAACAGCTCGCTGTGACATCCACCAACACGTCTGTGTTCTGGATCGTCCGTCTGTGATATTTATTTCTTCTACTTGGCAGGCTCGGATGGAGTAACTGCCCTCACTTAGTGTTTGTTAGGTGGGCTGAAGTGAGAGGAAGAAGGGAGCTACGCGAAAGACAGCGAGGAAGATTAGATATATCGCAGTCTTTCTTTTTTTTTTTTTACATCGGGATGTAAGAAGTTGAGATCCATCCATGCTTTGACGCCCTCTAAAAACCACAAAAATCAAACTCCAGGTATCGAAGGCCACTGTCACATGGCTGATTTAGATTGAGCAGATCAAATCAAAAGATTATTCGGTTATTCACAAGCACAAACATCTCCAACCTGCAGAAAGCAGGCACCGAGGATCAGATTTGGATATCCCTGCTCTAAAAAAGTCCAGCAAAAGCTTCAGTAAATCTGTAGTTTACACTTTTGTGTGCAAATAGATTTGTACGATATCTACAAAGTGATAGAAAAGAACCTCCAAAATAGATCTACTGACACACCAAGACACAACGAGACTAGAATAGAATCTTGACTAGCCTCCTTTCTTGTATTTTTATAATTGTTTTTTAATGTTGACTCCTAGTGCCTCCTTTATTTCATTTTCCCATTCATTTGTTACAACATTTTTTTAAATACATTCATAAATCTTATAATTTCCCAGTCTTGCATCAGTGGTGTATTTTTCCTCTCTTTGAGGCACTTTTACTACTTCTGTCAAATCATAAACATGAAGAAAACTACTCCCATATGACACAAATAACTGGGGGTTTAGTCACATGCCTCCCATGTTTTCCCTCTGTCCCTCACACCCTGTAGTGAAAGTCACTTTTTGACAGGGGTTCAGAATTCTCACACAACAGCTGTCAGACTAAAGCCGAATAGCACAAATCCATGTTCTAAATGTCTGAATAATACCGTTACGGATGGATCCTGACATACAGAAAGCTGGCGTGAAAGCTCTCATACAATAGGCTGCATTATGGCATGCATGGACCTGAGCTAGCTAACAGCTAACTGCCTCCAAACCCCCAGGCTGATTGCTTTTGATAAGGAGTAATAAACCAAAAGGGGCCGAACTTGACATTGGCTGAATTTACCTGATGCGGGAGACTAGGGAGGTAAAGCTGAAGCCCCACGGTCAGGTCATGGTCGAAATACAGCGGTGTGGTGGAAGCTTTGCAGTAGTCCAGCAGCGGGCTGACAAAGCGGCGAGACTCACAGAGATCCTATATTAATAAGATGCAACGCACAGAAAAAAAACTGGCCAATCTCCTGCGCTACTTTGAGCTGAAAACATCAGACTTTTTGCTTTATTTTTTGAAGAAATATGTCAAAAAATGTAGCTGCTATTGTAAATCTTATCTGAAAAAAACAAACCCATCCTTTGTTACCTTAAGGAGTCTCGCTATTGTATCGATTGAGCTGAAATTTATAGAGTAGTGGTCCTTCTATTTTTTATCGACACATCTTTGTAGTGGGAGCGTTCACTGAGCCGTAAAGTGTATTCTGGGAAATGTAGTTATTCTGTGTTAAAACAGTTCACTTAAACTATTCCTAACTTAATTTATCTTTGCCACCCATGCTTGTATGGCGTTTGAATATTTATGTATTGTTACCAAAAAGAAAAAGTTCTGAAGATTTAACCAATTTCCAGTTTTAAAGTACATAAACGGCGTTATCACAAATTTTGGCTGAACCAGGAAGTCGTCGGGAGTCATATGATGTTGAAAAATGGCTGCCGTGCAGTGGTAAGATTTTATTTTCTTATCCAGAAAACTCTCTGTTATTCAAATAAACAGGATGAACCAGCAGCTTTTTAGGGTTATGCGAAGGTATATAAAAAGTAAATCCATTGCAAAAAGGTGTGTTTAATAATAGCGACTGAAAAACGTTGACGTTTTGCATGTTGTCAACCTAATTAGCAAAAATCTATATTTTCAAAAGTGTCCCTGCTTATCATTTTGTTTTGAACGTACAAATTCTAAGAAGAAACGGCATAGCTGCCCAGGTCAGAGGTGTTCCAAGAATGTCTGTCATATACCGAAATGAATATTTTTGGCACTTTATAGTTTTTTTTATTCATTGGCAAATAATACATCTAATTATTACTAAATACTACTCATCTAATGGCCAGATGTTAAAGTCTTAATTGCCTCACAGTAAAAACTTCTAACGTTTTCCCAACATATTGTTTTTCCGTCTCCAGACACTATTTTTAACTGTAGTGATTACAGACATGTTGGCAGTCTGCACCACAAAACTATACAAAACCTTGTTTTTGAATTTACAGAGAGCTCTTGGGGTCTGAAAGGATTTGATCAGAGCGTTGTGAGCCTTTTTTCTCTTGACTGTCTGTTGTGTGATCAGGCGTTCCCGGGGACGTAACTATGAGGCAGAGCTGCAGAGGTGTTGTCCAGAGGTGGCTCCGATTGACTTCGGAGAGTACCATCCCCTCAAGCCCATCATGGTATCGTTGTCCCAAATGGATTAGCACAAATATTTCAGCATATAATCCTGTCACTCGTGACGTTAACTACAATTTACCACGACGTAATGGCCTTTGGCCTTCGCTCTTTTCTGTCCCCTCCAGGTGACGGACACAAAGACCCGTCGCGGGACCCGCAAGGGCAGCACCTCCTCCTCTTCCTCCTCCTCGTCTTCAGCGCCGCCGGATCCCCTCAGCTCCATGCTGGACGGCACCGACCCCCTGTCCATGTTTGCCGCGGCCTCGGCCACCGAGCCCACAGCCGTGCCCCGCAGCAGCTCGGCCGCGGTCAGTGTCCACCTCAGACCTTCTGTTTGATGCTTCAACTGTGGCAAAATAACCACAAAAATATGCGTAACTGCTCCAAATAAAGCGGTACAATAATAAATGGATGGATGGAACTGCTCCAAAAACAACAAAAAATGGACATTTTGTGCTTTCAGGAGCTTGGGAGGAAGAGGAGAGAGAAGGAGGAAGAGGTGGTGGGACCAGACTTTGAACCCTGGTCGTCGAAACGAGGGGAAATCCTGGCGAGGTTCACCACCACTGAAAAACTCTCCATTGTGAGTCCTAGATGATGCTTGACCAGGTCATCTGCAAGGCTCCGACTAGGACTTCCTGACTCTTAAAGATATTGAAATGGCACAGAGATGGCAGGCCATTTACCCTCTCACATAAGCCAGTAGCATCTTAGATGAGCTTTGGTCAATAACTGAAATTTCAGCTTCCAAAACTGGTTTAAGGTAAATAAACTGGGCTAAAGGGTAGCTGCAGAGTCCACTTTATCACTGGTGGTAATAAAGAAACTAGAGCCCCTACTCTTAAATTTTTTGTTATTGTTTTTTGTAGGTATTTTCATGTCTGAGCCTCTTCTGGCTGCTCTGTTTTAAATCGGTTTTCCTCTAAATTCTAGTTGTACTGAGTCTGACTACAACTGGATTTTTGTGTCTTTGTGTTCACAGAATCTTTTCATGGGCTCAGAGAGAGGTAAGCCTGCTGTTTCTTCTCGAAAAAAGAAGGCCTAATTTTGTTGATCATACTTTTAAAATTCCTTAGTTTTTTCTTTCTATTTGGACTGTAAGTTTTTTGTTTTATATAGCTCTTGGGGCTTCTTTGGAAAACTGAAAACTTCTTAAAGTTTTTTTCTGTTTCATTATCTGTTTAAACTTTTTTTAAATTAGCTATGTTTTATACAACTAAAGATTTAAATTAAAATAAGAGGCCCTAATAGGATACTTGGGGTAATCTTAACCATAGTCCATCATTTGGTGATGCCTACAAGGAAGTGCGGAGTCTTGAAATCCCTTCCATGTGTTCATCTGAAGACCTCACTGAACCATCAGATGCAGAGGGGCTGTCAAAAGAAAAACCCTTTCTCTAAATTTGGCTAATTTCTCATCAATACATATATTTAACAACAAAAGTGTACTCATTACTCATCCTTGTCTTGGCTAGGTAAAGCTCCAAGTCCTGGATCATCCGCCGTTTCGGAGAAGGTCCGCACTCGCCTGGAGGAGCTGGATGATCTGGAGGAGGTACGGTGTGCGTTAAGTCCGCTTTCTGGTGCAGATCAGTGATGCCCCCCCTCAGATAATCAGGCACACAGCTATTAAAGAGCTGGGCTGTTGTTTTGTGTGTGTTCAGGGCTCCCAAAGAGAGCTGCTGAACCTCTCCCAGCAGGATTACGCCAACCGTATCGAAGAGCTGAACCAGTCCCTGAAGGAGGCCTGGGCGTCTGACCAAAAAGTCAAAGCCCTGAAGATTGTCATCCAGGTAAATTCAAAGGGTGGGAGGCTGCCCCCCCCCGGCTGCTCGGTGCCAGAGCACCGGCGCTGACCTCTGATCCGCCTCGCAGTGCTCCAAGCTCCTGTCCGACACCTCGGTGATCCAGTTCTACCCCAGCAAGTTCGTCCTCATCACGGACATCCTCGACACCTTCGGTGAGGAGGGAGGCCTGGTTTTCTTCCCCTCGGTCCTTGTCAAAGAGGGGGTTTTTGAACGTTATCTGAGGGTGGCTGTCGTTCTTTTGCAGGCCGTTTGGTGTACGATAGAATCTGGACCATGTGTTCAGACCCGAGACCCCTACCAGGTAAAGGTGCCTAAAGACGGCCATCTGAGTGGGTATGGGGAAGTCTTAGCTTATTGTTTTTTTTATTTGTATTTTCTATTTGTTTTATTCAGACTCTTTCACAGTTGAAGACGTCAACGACACCGCAAAGGAGACGTGCCTCAACTGGTTCTTTAAAATCGCCTCCATCAGAGAGCTGCTGCCCAGACTGTATCCCGCACCACTTTAGCAACGCCCACGAAAAAAGGCCTTTTTTCTCTTATTTCTGATTTGAACTAAATCTGAACAAAAAAATACAATATGTGAACATTAATATTATGACATGAGACAGTAAGTTGGATAAGAAAATGAACCAACAAAAAAAAAAAAAACCTAGTAAGAATCTCTATATGCAAATGAATAACGAGTGAGTAATTAAGAAAAAATACATACAAAAATAAGAAAAGAACAGACCATTAACAAAAGAAATATAAGTTAACTGAACAAAAAACATAAAATGGGGTATCTAAAAGGCTGTGCGACTATGTACATTATAGGTTAAATACATCAAGTCACATCAAGTGTCAGCGACCTAACATGATCCAAGAACGGTGAACAAATTCTTTAAAACGGGATTTCAGAGCCCCATAAGAGTGCCTCATTTTCAACAGTTTCATGAAGGAAACTCTTTTATCCAATGAGAATGTGTGGGCGGGAGTGTGTCTAGCCAGTCAGCTCCATGAGTCTGACGATGGTCTGTTTTCTGGGAGAACCACCAAATAACAGCTCTGATTTTTGGATTGAACAGAGACTCGATTGGCCCTTCTGACCCCATCAGAAACCTAAAGTGTGACTCTTTAACTTCGGGGCACAGATACGTGGAAGCCGCCATCCTCAAGTGCAACCGTTTCCTCAACGTAGCGTAAGTGCACCTCTGTCCTGATTCTGTATTTTCTCCCTCGCTGTTCGACACATTTTCCCCTCTGACCCGCACAGGGGCATCCAGGAGACCCTCCCCCGCCTGACGGCCATGATCCGAGGGATCGGAGACCCGCTGGTGGCCGCGTACGCCAGAGCCTACCTCTGCAGGGTGAGGCTTTTTAGACTCCATGTTCATTTGTGTTTGTTTTTCACCTATTTTAGCTTCACTCCACTGGCTGCCCATCCATTTTAGGATTAATTTTAAAATTCTTCTATTTACTTTCAAAGCCTTGAATGGCCTTGCCCCGATTTACCTCTCTGAGCTGCTGCACCCCTACACTCCCAGCCGATATCCTAGGTCAGCTGACCAGCTGCTCCTGACGGTGCCTAAAACAAGGCTTAAGCTCAGAGGCTTTTGGCTTTTGACTCCATGTAGAGCGTTGATGTTATGTATTCAGGACTGTCTCAGAAAATTAGAATATTGTGATAAAGTTCTTTATTTTCTGTAATGCAATTAAAAATAATGAAATGTCTTACATTCTGGATTCATTACAAATCAACTGCAATATCGCAAGCCTTTTATTGTTTTAATATCGCTGATTATGTTTATGTTTATGTTTATGTTTATGTTTATGCATTTGGCAGACGCTTTTATCCAAAGCGACTTACAGAGTAGACACAATATTACATTTCTCATCACAATGACAATAAACTATATAGAACAGAAACACTGATCAGAGTCAGTGGTGAGATAGAGATAGAGGTAGAGGGGCTACAGAAGGAGCTGTGGGGGGGTAGAGGTACGGGTTAGGGTTAGGATAGGAGATGCTCTTTGAAGAGGTGGGTCTTCAAGAGTTTCTTGAAAACAGACAGGGACTCTGCTGTTCTTGTGGAGCTTGGTAGGTCATTCCACCATCTTGGAACGACACATGCAAACAGTCTGGATTGTCTTAAGCGTGGTGAAGGCACCGCTAGACGACAATCCATTGATGACCGGAGTGATCGAGTTGTGACATAAGCCTTTGCAAGGGGATTCAAGTAGATGGGAGCCATACCCTTAAGCACTTTGTAGGCTAGCATCAGGGACTTGAATTTGATACGGGCAGCCAGAGGTAACCAGTGGAGTTCAATGGACAGAGGGGTGACGTGAGATTTTTTGGGCAGATTGAAGACCAGACGCGCCGCCGCGTTCTGGATCATTTGTAAAGGTTTTACTGTACAGGCCGGGAGATTATGGCGTACAGCTGAAGAAAACTAAAAAATCCGATATTTTAATATTTTGAGATAGGATATTTGGGTTTCTTAAGCTGTAAGCCATAATCAGCGATATTAAAACAATAAAAGGCTTGCGATATTTCAGTTGATTTGTAATGAATCCAGAATGTATGACATTTCATGATTTTTAATTGCACTACAGAAAATAAAGAACTTTATCACAATATTCTAATTTTCTGAGACAGTCCTGTATGCTTGCATATTTTTTTACTTTGTACCTCATCTTTTTTTGCTGTACTTCTACTGTCTTATTTTTTTTTTCTGGATATGTTTTTGTGCAGCACTTTGGGAAACCTTGTTGTTTGTTGAAATCGTGCTAATACAAATAAAAGCGGATTGGATTGGATTCAACTCTAGGTGGGCATGGAGGTGGCCCCCCACCTGAAGGACAGCCTGAACAGGAACTTCTTCGACCTGCTGGCCACCTTCCGGCAGATCAGCGGCGACAGCATCCAGAAGCAGCTGCAGGTCCAGCGGGTGGAGGCGCCCGAGTACCTGACGCTCTACTCCCCGGCCATCAACTGGATCCTGCAGTGCATCGCCTACCGAGCTCCAGAGGTGCTGCGATTTGAGCTGTGAACAAAAAAAAAAAAAAAAGAAAAGGAAGAGTTTTGCAACGGTCAAAGCCCGGCCGCCGTTTCTGATTTGTTGTCGTCTGTGTTTCCACGTCAGCTGCTACTAACGGAGATGATGGAGAGATGCAAGGCCCTGGCTAATAAGTATGTGCTCTGGACATCAAAATGAGGATTTCTACAGTTCATATGTTCTTTTTTTTTTTTTTTTTTCAACCATCCATATTTTAATTTCTCTCTTGATGGTAAAATCCAAGGTTTTAGAGCTGTGTTGCCATTTCTTTATGAAGTTATATCCATAATTTTTTGAGGAATTGTGTTTGCAGTCTAAATCTTATTATCGACATAAAGCAAAAGGAGATCACTGTTCTGCACACTGCAGTGTTATTTATGTAGTTTTTACAGTAATATGAATAAGTAATAATAATAACCCATTTATACAACAGCTTAGATTCACATGCAACCCCTGGTAAGAAGCCATTTGCTGGTAAAAAAACAGATGCTCCTGCATTCATAAAGACGAGGACAGAGCACCTTATGTTGCGTCTAATGACATTTTTAAGATTCCAGGTTGAAAAAATGCTAACAGAGTCAGAGTACACCTGTAAATATTGCAGACCATACATGAAGTCATTTGAGTTGTGAAAAACAAAAAGACTGATCTTGTGTCTGTTTGGGACAGTGCCTTGCTCCTGAACTCCATCATGAGGGCCTTCAAACCGGAGTTCGTGGCGGCCAGAGCCACCGACTTCATCGGCATGATCAAAGACTGCGACGAGTCCGGCTTCCCAAAGGTCAGAGGCTCCTCTGTGGTCACAGATTCTGAATGTCCAGGTATATATTTGGACCCGGAGGAGGTTTGAGGGTTCTCCGTCCCCTCTGCAGCACCTGCTGTTCGGCTCTCTGGGACGCAGTCTGGCCTGTGCCGACCCCCCGGAGTCCGAGAGGCTGACCATCCTGAACGAGGCCTGGAAGGTGGTCACCAAAGTCCGCAGCCCTCAGGTTGTGTGCGAGCCCCACGCCGTTTGTCGCCGAACGCCCCCGCTCCCCAGGTGTTAACGCCGTGCTTTTGTCTCCGGGTTTCAGGACTACATCAACTGCGCAGAGATCTGGGTGGAGTTCACCTGCCGGCATTTCACTGTGAGCAAAAAAGCTCCTTTCCATGTGTTGGATTATTATTTTTATCTTTTGAATTATGATAAAACACAATGTTCTTGTACAACGGAGTATTAGGGCCACAATTAGAAAAGAAAAAAAGGAATTACTTCATTATTAATTAGATTAAAGTTGTTTTTAAATATGGCGAGGATCAATCTTTCTGCGGAAATGATGCATTTTCTTACATGTTCTTTTTAACGTCCCGACACTTATGACAATCTGATTCCACTGTGCCAAAAGATTAAGCGTCTCCTTGTTTGTGAAACCTAAAGTACATTTCCACAAATTCCGTGATCCACGACCCTCAACTCTCGTCTTCTAAAACTGAATAGAATATTTACGACTGCATTCTCGTCATTTATTTTCACCATATATTATAATGTTTTTAATCTCGTAATTGATTCATCTCGCCACATTTAAGAATGACTTAAAAAAAAAATTTAATACATTTTTTTTTTTTAAATATTTTATACTGAGTCGTACTCTTTTTGTCAGTATTTTTTCTTCTTTCTAATGCTTTATCACACTCTTTTTTATTTTTCTTGCTCTCAGAAACGGGAGGTTAACACGGTTCTGGCCGACATCATCAAACACATGACGCCTGACCGGGCATTTGAGGACGCCTACCCTCAGGTTGGCGCTGTGCCCCCCCCCCCCCCCCCCCCCCCCGCCTTCATTGACCCCCCCCTGTTACTGACCGTCCTGTCTTTGCTCCGCCCGCAGCTGCAGTCGGTCATCAGGAAGATCCTCACCTACTTCCACGACTTCTCCGTCCTGTTCTCAATGGTCAGTGCTTTTATAAAACTGCCCGTCCCTCCTCACGCCTCGGTTTAATGGCCTCTCCCCTCTCACCCCCCTCCCAGGAGCGCTTCCTGCCCTTCCTGGACATGTTCCAGAAAGACAGCGTGCGGGTGGAGGTCTGCAAATCCATCATGGAGGTCTTCATCAAGTAAGAGCCCGGATGTGTTCCGGTTCTGTAGGATTCCCTCTTTTTGTTCCAGCGCATTTGTTTTGGTTTTTTTCTTGGCTGCAGACACCAGGTGGAGCTGACCAGGGACCCGGTCATCCTCAACGCCATGCTGCACATATGCAAGACCATGCACGACTCGGTCAAGTAGGTCATCCGTATGTCCGGTGGGCATCTCCGGTACCCCCGTTTTTGTTGGTCAGTAACCGCCTGTCGGTCTGCAGTGCACTCACCCTCGAGGACGAGAAAAGATCACTGGCTCTGCTCATCATCGGTTTCATCCGCATGGTGAGACCCTACAGGTTCTATTCGCCCCAAAAGATACCAAACTCTTTTACTGAAATTGTCAAATGACTGAGTTTTTTAAAACTATTTAAACTTGTATTCACTCTTGCTGTGCATTGTTGTGGCCCAGTAGTTGTTAAGTGGATTGAGCAGGGGCATTCTATAGCTATATCTTTTTAAAGATTAAATACTTTGTCCTGTATTTTATAGTAATACATGAATCTAGATT